TTCAAGAAATTTAATTTTGCTTTAGACTTGGAGATCCCAGTGAAGTTACCACACCTGCTTGAGGAACGAATCTAGTGCAGAATAACTGGCTTTCTTCAGCTCCTGATGCGTGTGGGCACACCACTTGCACATCACTTCATAGAGGGACACATAGTTGTCCAGGAGCAAGGCTCCAAACTGAGCAGAGTGCCAGCTGAACAACTGTAACCCAGCTGCAATTTAAAAACAATTTTCATTAAAGACCAGACTCACATTTTACACAACCAGCCCAGACTGTGAAAGTCCACATTAGGACTTTAGATGGGCAGACCCACCATGACTGGAGGGTATAAAATGTATTCCTCTAGCCTCTACTGATACTCTGCAGTATCAGTACCCAAACATTAAGAACTTCAGCATAAAACAACCCTCCGAAATACTCTTTTTAAATGTACAACATTATGGAATGCACAGCTGTGTTCAGATGTAATTTACATTAATATTGAAAAAGAAAGGGACTTCAGTGGTTACAAATATGAATACTTGATTGCACAATTTAGAAGGATCTGATTTGTGTTGTCAGGAGTCCACAAGTCACCTCCTCTGCCAAACTGTGACACAGACAAATACAGAACTCAGATTATAGGTAATTTCACTATTCCAAATAAGCATAAATGGAATCTCAAGATCCTTAATGAATTAAGTGGGGGGAAGATAGGAGGAAGATATCTTTAAAGAGGGTTTTACTCCTCACAGTAACCATGGGCCTAATACTGAAACCTTGCATTTTTGCAGTTTCTGCATAAGCCACTCATTTCACAGGCCAATTTCTAGTCTTCCGATTTTTTCCCCCTTCCTGCAGTGAAACTTTTCTCCTTTTTTCTTTTAACTCAATCCATGTCACCTCTTTTCTCCTAATTAACTCCTCTTTACATTCCTCTCTTAACTACACTCCTCTTATTTCTACCATTCCTTTCTCTCATCACAGTTCTGTACTACTCCCGAGGGGAAAATGCCATCAAGTATAATGCTGCTATTCATAACCTGATTAGACATTGACTAGTTTAACCAAATACACGTTAAACTCAATATTCCAATTTGAAGTACAGCAGCTTTTCCCCCAGCCAGCTTAGATGATTAAAGACATCTGAACAGATCCAGTAAAGAATAAATAATTCCAGACAAAAGACAGTACCCACCTCAGCATGAATGGAAATAATTTACATCTTACCTAGAGGTACTGCGTATCGCTTCTGATCAATCTGTAATATCAGAAAAGGTTTGTCACTACAATTTATTCTTCACCAGGGCTAATTTGTTTATGCAGAACAATTAGCACATAGCAGATTTACCTGTGGGTTGATTGCCTTCATTGCAAAATCAAAAATCTCCTTTGCAGTCTGAGGATCTGTGAAACAATTCAATAGTGAGTATTTCACTACTGACATAAAGTAAGCAGAGTGAGCTTGGTATGAAGAAAATGATATTGCAGCCTTATATCT